ATAGTTTTAAGCCATAAAGCTTGCTAATGGCAACGTCTTATCAGAACATACATAGGTGGTGGCCCTAGGGCACTGCCCCGGGGGCCCCCTCCCAATCCGGACCCAGCACCACGAAGTCTGAAACCAATCACTTAACCTTCTATTCCCAGTCATGTAGCCCCCATCCCTAATTCCTCAAACTCAAGTATAAGTATCCCTGAAAAGTGGGAGGGGCTTGCAGTCATCTTGGATCCATTCTGGCCCCCGCTGCCACTGGACGCTGAATTGCTAGCAAGGTTTGTAATCCTGCTTTCTTTATCTTTTTAATCCTTTCTCTGCCTGTTCTTTTGTTTCTCTTCTGAATAAACGTTCATGTCTCTGACTACACCTCCTGGGAAGTTTTTCAGACTTTTGTTACCTACTCAGAAGGAAGTTTTAACCTCCTTGAAAAATTCACATAACAACTTGGATCCACAATCAACGCCCATAGAAGCAGCAGTCAAGAAATCAATGTACTGTACTGGACTAATCTGCTGCAAAAGAACTCTGTAAAGTATTAAAAAGCAGTGATGTTGAGGAAGGCTGAAATGGAAGGCTGAATGGACCCCTCACTGAAAACTGCAAAACTTTCACAAGCTAATGGGCATGATTAAAGTAGACTTTACTTTTAGTGACTAATTTTTTTTTCCCCCACTTATTTTATTTTATTTTTTCAAGTAAATAGTATGGCCACCTTTTTTTTTTAATAGGTGCTGAGCTTTTCAGATTTCCTATTGTGTATTTGGGAGCTCTGGTAGTGTAGTGCCTAAGTCACTTGACTGCTAACCAGAAGGCTGGTGGTTCAAACCCACCAGACACTCCTTGGAAGGAAGGTTGGGCAATCTACTTCCGTAATGGTATCACCTCGGAAACCCAAGGAGGGGTCGCTGTGAGTTGGGTCTGGCTCAACAGCACATAACAACAACAACATTTATTTAAGCATAACCTTTTCCCACAACTAGTTTCTTCTGAGAACTGTGGTCTACAACAAGATGACCCTGAGAAAGGAAACACTAAGCCTTGGAGCAACCAAGATAAATGAGAAAACAGAGATATCCCTGGTGGCTGGTAGGCCGAGAGGCCTGAGGATGCCTGTTCCCATACCTCCCCTTGTAGAGTTCATCTCTCTAGGCAGGCATGAGGAGCCTGAAGGATAGTCTCCTGAACAAGGATTTTTTTTCTTTTTTTTTTTAAATCACTGACCAGAAGAAGAACAGAGAGATTGCAAAGCAACAGCAATTTGTTCCAGTAACGAGAAGGAAGCATTAACAGTATTCATCAGAACCTCCTACCCCCTCAGCCCAATTCCCTTTAAAAACCCTAACCATTCCCCAGCTTGGGGAGACATACATTTTGGAGAAATGATTCGGTCTGTCTTCCTGGGTATCTGTACACAATAAACATTTTGCTTTCTCTCTTCAATCAGGTGTGATCACTGGCTCTTTTGGACAGGGGGTAAGGACCTTATTTTCCTACAACAATGTCACTTTGAGGACTAAGGTGCACCTATCCCAAGCCATGTATTTTCAATAGCCTCATATGAATGTAAAAGGTGGACCATGAATAAGGAAGATCGAAGAATAATTGATGCATTTGAATTATGATGTTGGCAAAGAATACCCAATATGCCATGAGCTGCCAGAAGAACAAACAAATCTATCTTGGATGTAGCAAAGCCAGAACACTCCTTAGAAGGCAGGAAGGCAAGCCTTCTCTCAAACTTTGGTCACGCTGTCAGAAGGGACCAATCCCTAGAGAAGTAGATTATGCTTGGTAAAGTAGAGAGTCAGTGAAAAAGAAGACCCGCAATGACATGGATTGATACAGTGGCTGCAAGAAGGGCTCAAATATAGTAATGATAATGAGGATGGCCCAAGACTGGACATTGTTTCATTCTGTTGGACATACAAGGTCGTAAGGGGTCAGAACCGACTCGATGGCACATAACAACAACTGCTTTTTATAATTACATAATTGCCTTTACCGATACTCTGTTTACTTGATACTTAAATTACCTTCTGGGATCACTTCCTTTCTGTCTGAAGACTCTCCTTTAGACCTTATTTCTTGCAAGGTGGGTATGCTAGCAACAAATTCCCTCAGTTTTGGTTGTAAGACTGGTTGTTGTTGTTGTTGTTATGTGTCGAGTGTTGTTGTTATGTGTCGGACCTGACTCATAGCGACCCCTCCTTGGGTTGCCGAGGCAGTATCACTATGGAAGTAGCTTGCCCAACCTTCCTTCCGAGGAGCGAGAAGCGGCTGGTGGGTTTGAACCGCCAGCCTTCTGGTTAGCAGTCAAGTGCCTTAGGCACTAAGACTGATAGGGCTGGCTGAATCAAGCAGCCTCTAACTCAGGATTCTTGTTAAAAGGCAAACCACCACATTGCTGCTGGCTACAGAGAAGTGCTTACAATTAACAACCAGGCCCTTAGGCAAAACAAAGTTACATTTCAAAAGCCCCACAAAGGTGACCACTGCAAAATGCTGATGAACCTAAGTTGTCCTTCAGGTACCTCAGCAGGTGCCAAGCATGCGCAGTGAAATTCAACCCAACAAAGTGACCTTCCACCGGAGGCAGTCAAGAACAGGAATCTCTTTCTGGGACACCCCAGGGCCCAGAGACATCATAAATGCGCAAAATCCCAGAATCGTTCAAGCAGCCTTTGGGACACGTTCAAGCAGCCTTTGGGACACGTTCCATCTGCGTTCTGACACCCTTTGTGGTGCAATCTATCTCGGCTATCTCCTACATGCATACCTGATTTTCATAACCCCACCTTTTTCCCCAGAAAAACCTGCCTATTCTATGAATAAAGATGAGGCTTTATTCCTGCCTAAAACCTTTTATAAACCCTAGGAAATCCTTTGTTCTGAGAGAGACTGGAGGGGAGTGTAGGCAGAGCCTCTCCTCTCTCCTTTCCCTTCAATCAACTTTGGGTTGTGTGCACATTTTGCTTCTCCTGTTCAATTTTTTCTCAGTAGAAGGCAAGGACCCCTGCGCAGGGTCACAAAGACCACAGTAAGTTATGTGGGAAAGTCTTTATTTCCCCTTCACCTTCAAAAGAGGTTTGCTGGATGAAGGATTCTTGATATATATATATATATATATTTTTTTTTTAGCACCTTAATATATTATTCTACTGCCTTCCGGCATTGTTGTTTCCACTGAGATGCAAACTTAATCTTACTGAGGTTTTCTTGTGAGTGATGCATTAATATTCTCTTGCTACTTTCCAAGTCTTGTCTTTGACTTTAACACTTTTAGTAATTTATTAGAGCTTAAATTCTGAAGTACTTGGTTTGTGGAAGGCGAGGTCTACAGCGGGAGCCCTAACTCCCTTTTGAGCCTCAACATGAGTTCAGACGCCATTTGAGTTCTTTCTGACCTTTAAACAAACCAACGTTGTGGCTTGGCAGAGACAAGTTCTGGGATGAAGGGAGAGAGGGGCAGTTTGCCCTCTGGAAGAGTGAGATTATGCTCACGCAAAGAGCTAAGTACTCGCCTGAATGTGTCCTTTTCTTATTGAAATTAAGGCTGGGGTTCTGGCATTGTCTTGTAGCCACCCTGTGGCGATGAGTCAGGCTGCACAGTCCTGAGTCGTTTCCTGACCACCACGTGGCCAGCTGGTCCAGTACCTGAACCAGTCCTGTAACCCTTTTCAATCTTCAGTTATATGGGGACCCTAATCATGGTGTGTTCCCGGTTTCCTTAATTCTGCCCGGGACAGTCATGAATCAATCCACCACGTTGATGGTTTTCCTCCCCCCAGACAAGACAATTGTCTTTGTTCTAAGGTTTAATAAAAAGGTCTCCTTCCCCCTCCTACAAAGTGATGTGCCTGCTCATTGATCTCTGTGTTTACCTTACTTGGAGTTTGTTGAGTTTCCTGGATGTGTATGTTATTGTTATGTGCCGGACCGACCAAACGACTCATAGTGACCCCTCCTTGGGTTTCTGAGGCAGTATCACTACGGAAGTAGATTGCCCCATCTTCCTTCCCAGGAGTGGCTTGTGGGTTTGAACCGCCAGCCTTCTGGTTAGCATTCAAGTACCTTAGGCACTATACTACCAGAGCTCCCGTGTATGTTATTACTTTTCAATAAATTCGAAATACTGGTTGTCTTTTTATAACACACACACTCTTTGCCTGGAACACACAACCTTTCCCTGTCCACTTGCACAGACCAAGCAAACCATAAATGCAGGCTTTTTCTTTGCCTGACCTCCAAGAACTCCTAACTTTCAGAACAGGCCCCAGGGGTAATGTGACACGTAAGGGAAACCGAGTAAGTTTTGGTTTTCAGACCACTGGGGACGTGAAACACCTCACCTGGACAGTCACGTTTATGATTTCTTCAAGATTAATCTTTTTTTTCACCCTGCCTTTGTGCCTCTTGGCCACTCCTAATGCAGCGATTCATTTTGGGTCCTGGTATTCCATTTGGCCTCCTGCTGCACCCATTCCACTTTGTTCCTTGTGGCTGTCCGGGGGCCCGCTAAGTGAGCCTCTATGAAGACAAGAACGGCCCAAACCACCGCCACATTGCGGTCGAGTCCTAAAGTACCATTTGGTGAACAGTCTCAGGCGTAGCTAAGAAAACAGAACACAGTGCGGTTTCACAATACAACCACCACGAGAAACAAGGCCGACACGGGTGGACGAGACACCTACAGTCACGTGGCGCCAACGGCGCCAGTCGGAAACGTCAGGATCATAGTGCGCGCGTCAGGAGCCCGCGCCGCAGACGGCGCGGAGTTGCTAGGGGGCGCTGTGGGCGCGGGCTGCCGGCGGCGCGTCTAGGCCGTTCCCAACCGCACTCGGTGCCACAAAGCGCCGGCTTTGGGGCCGCTGAGGACCGAGGGGGCCTGCGGCTTGTTGGGCAACCGCGCTCGTGCCTCTCGTCCTGAGCCGCCGGTGCAGCCGAGGAGGACGACACCTAGGAGGCCGCGCCCCGGGCCGGGCGGACAGCAGCGCGGTACCATGGCCGAGGCGGCGGCAGCCCCGGTAAGGCAGCTGCGCCGCTGGGAGCCCCCCGGGGCCGGGCGCTGCAGGCTCTGCGACCCCGACTTGGGACCCGGGCTGGGGGGCGGGCACGGAGTCCCTTACCGCCGGCGGCGCGGCGCCTTGGCGCGGAGGGGCCTCAGCCGAGGCTGACGGCGCGGCGGAGAGGAGCGGCC